AAAAGAGAGACCGATCCTCGTCAGCTTCTACTGACCTCAGAAAGCCAAGCTGTCCTTTCCGAAATGTGGGTGAGCCCCGAGGAGGGAGAAGGCGCAGGACGGAGGCCGGCGCTGGCCCTTGGCCCTGGGCTCGGGGGGAGGAGGAGGAGGAGGAGGAGGAGGAGATGAAGGGCTATAAACTCAGAAGAGCTTCGAGGAAACAGAGACCGATCCTCGTCAGCTTCTACTGACCTCAGAAAGCCAAGCTGTCCTTTCCGAAATGTGGGTGAGCCCCGAGGAGGGAGAAGGCGCAGGACGGAGGCCGGCGCTGGCCCTTGGCCCTCCGGGCTCGGGGCTCGGGGGAGGAAGGGCAGCCAGGCGGCAGGAAAGTGGTAACTGTCCTGAAGGATGTGGTCTCTTTATGCATCAACACTGAAAACTCCCCAAGATGCGTCAGTAAATGGGACAAAACACAGAAGGTTCAGATGGTGTGTCATGTGCTACCTTTGTGCAAAAAAGAGAAAGAGGAGGGCCCGGCCGGGTGGCTCAGGGGTTGAGCGCTGACCCATGAGCCAGGAGGTCAGGGTTCGGTTCCCGGTCAGGGCACAGGCCCGGGTTGCGGGCTCCATCCCCCGTGGGGGGTGTGCAGGAGGCAGCCGATCTGTGACTCTCTCTCATCAGTGATGCTTCTCTCTCTCCCTCTCCATTCCTCTCTGAGATTAATAAAAAAGAATATATATATATTTAAAAATGTCACGTGAACAGGGGCAGGGCTGTGTGAACACACCTGGGAAGTCACGTGGAGATGGAGGACAGATCACGTGAAATTTGATGGGGTGAGGCCAGGAGCCCCCTGAAGCTGAAGGGGAAGGAAGGGCCCTCCCTGGAGCCCCCGGGGGAGCACAGACCCCGACACCCTGATTTCAGGTTCTGGCCCCAGAAGGCGGAGCACGTGTCCCTGTGGGTTGAGGCGGGTCTGCAGTCATGGGAGCAGCAGCCCCAGGAAACAGACCCTCCTTGCCCTCCTTTTGGGGCTTGGACTGGGTTCTGGGAGCAGCCGAGCCCTGTGCCCCGGCAGGGGGACCCTGAGACCTCTCACTGCAGGGCTCACAGGGGGTTCATCCTGTGTCTGTGCCTGGCTCTGGCTCCCGCTCCCCTGGGGGTTCCTAGGCAGCGACTGCAGGGGGCGCACCAGGCAGGCTGCTCGGTGGGAAGCGCTGGCCACGTGGCTCAGGGACGCCCCGCAGCTCATCCCCAATGTGGGGGGTGCAGGAGGCAACCAATCACCAATCGATGATCCTGTCATTATTGATGTTTCCATCTCCCTCTCCCTCTCCCTCTCGCTCTCTGAAATCAATAAAAAAATATATTTTTAAAAAGGGATGGGCAAGTGGGTAGGTACCTTCACAATCAGTGACGGGCTTCTCACTGTTGAGGAGGGAGCTATACAGGTGGAACAGGGGAAGCTAGGAAAGCCCAGAGGCCCGCAGTGCAAGCGCAGGGGTTGGTGGGAATCACGTCCCACCATCCGTCCGCCCAGCGGAGCAGCGGGCGGAGGAGACCCTCCTGAGGCCCAGTGAGCAGGTAGAGTGGGTGTCGGCACCAGGCCGCAATGAAAGGCAGCCATGGGGCGGAAAGTGAGCTCTTTGCAGGCCTGTGTGCTCATGTTCCTGTGAGAAAATGTGTTCTCGGCACCAGAGAGAACTTTGGGAAAACAGCATTTGCAGTCAAAGCCGAAATGCATGGGATGGAATTTATACATTTGTCCTTGAAACGACACTGAATATAATCCCACCTGTGCCGCGTGTTTTTTAATGTGTTTTTGAGAGTCAACCACATGGTGCA